GGAAAAAAAGCTAGAAAACAAAACCAAAACTCCTAACCCTCCTTCCCCTGCCCGATCCCGCAGCCTGAATTTATTTCCCAAGGCTGCTGATAGCTGAACGGCAATTGTTTTTGCTCAGTAATGGCACTCTGAGGAGATTTGCGTCGCAAAGCTGCTGGAGAAGGCATGGCACAGAGCGGAGCGAGAGGAGGGGGTGGGTGGAGAGCTGCTCTGCCAAGCTGCCAAGCGGGCAGGCAGGCAGGCAGGCGGGGTCGCCCTGGCAGCGGCTGTGCTGAGCTTTCGCTCTGTGCCTCCCCAGGGACTGCGCCTGTCTCTCGCTCCAGGCTTCTCCCATGCCACATGAGAGGGAGGGAGAGAGGAGAAAGCAGAAGGGTCCCTCCGCACCGCCAGCACCCAACTGCCTGGCTCACGCCTGCAGCAGGCAAACCATGAGGAAGGGTCTCTTTGCCCCAACAGTCACTTCACCTTTGGTTTAAAAGCTTTGTCCACTTCCACAAGGGACAATGGAGGAGCAGTATATTTCCAAACTCCACCCAGTAGTGGATTACGGAGCTGGGGTCTTTCTTCTGATCACAGGTGAGTTCACAGCCTGTCTGCTTGTTTAGGAAGCCTAGGAACGGACACACCAGAGCAGCCCCGTCCATGCTGCTGTCCAGAGGAAGCTGGAGGGAGATGAGAGAAAATCTGCTCCTGCACAGGTGCCCTTGCTTAGTGCCTTCTAGCTGGTTGGGAGCCAGGATTAATCTCTGCTCTCAGATTTGCAGTTCTTCACTTTGATGCCAAAGACTTGCCAGCACAAGTTCATCTCTGCGGCATCAGGAGTATTCAGAATACGCTCCCTACCTCTTATTCCAGCATCTCAGTCCTGTGCATGAGACAAAGCAGCTTGTCTCATGAGACTGACCAGGGGACAGCAACTTTGGTCTGACTTTTGTGTTGTCTGGCATGGGAGGGAAGGTTTTGTATAAAGAGCAGCTGTGCTTTGGGGGATAACCTGGTAAAGTAGCAAAGGGTTTCCAAGTCACGGTTCTTTTTGTCTGATGGCCTCTTTGCCCTGCTAAAGGCAGATGTACAATGAAATGCAAATGGAGATGAGTACCATGCAGTCTGCTCCTGCATGGCTTTAGTGAAGCATTTTATTCCTTGTCCTTTTGTTGTATGTGCCCAGGTGATCTGTTTATCATAGCTGTAGATTTGGAGAGGAGCCGAAGTGGTTTAGGCATGCAGTCCAGCTGAGTTTTAATAAGATGTGAGTACCTCCCTCTCTTCAGCTCATTTGAAAACCCTGGCTGATGTATATTTAAGAAAGACAAGCATATATATTTGGTGTGCTTTCTTAGATGTGAAATACATTTGCTGGTAGAGGATCTGTGAGAAATACAAAGTAACGGTGATTCATGAGATATTTTGGTCATTGGGGGAGTTTTGGCAGCAGTGCTGGCTTTGGGATTTCACATCTCACCCCTGTTCCTGAACACCTCTCTGCACTCTCTGTCCTGCAAAATGCTGTCCCCTCAGTTGTGCTGGCAGCAGAGAGTGCAATTCGAGGTAAGAAAAAAAAACAGAATCCGCAAAGCAATGAAGGGGTTTGCTTTTAATCCAAGCCAGGATGCTAGCTGCTTTCTCACCTAAAAGTAGATATGCAGATACAGGTTCAGATAAAAGGACAGGGCAGCAACAAGGGGCCAGAAGCTGATGTGCCTTTTGCTGGTATTGCTGCTGAAGTTCCCATGTCATTGTGCAACAGTCTCAGACCTCTCCTAAAGGACTTTCAGGCACCTAAGCTTTAGGCATAGCTTCCAGCAGTCAATCAAGAGCCCTCTGTTAGGCAGCCAGGCTTGCTATATGGTATGTAGGAATGGGGTCTCAGCCCATACACGAAGTGGTGAGATACCAGAGACTGGAAACTGTGTTGTGTTTATTTGTAGCTTTGCCACCTCACTGAGGTCCTGCAGCAAGGCCTATTTGTCTCCTGAAATTATGTCTTTAGCAGGGAACAACAGGAGCAGGGCATGAACTGCAGGACTCTCCACCACCCTCTGTGCTATTTGATTACTAGCGCGCTTTGTACAGTTTTGTTCTGTGCCAGCTAGCACCCTCAAAGGCAGTGGGACGGAGGGAAATACCGTGTGTCAAAGTAAAAGAAACGGTGGTGTGGGATGGCTGCCCTTGATGGTAAGACTACGAGATACTTCCTACCTGCAGTTAGAGCACTCACACAAGAAGTGAACTGGGTTCATTATCCTCCTAAAGCCTGAGGATGTCCAAACCTGTGGTTGCCATTTGGCAGGAGAGTGCTTTCCCCACCAAGTCACAGGTTGCTATTTGTCAGCAAGCGGCTACGTGCCAAGCCACGGTGGGCAGCTCTCTATATGTGCAGATGTACCACTCTGAAGAACTCAGGGACCTTTTAAAGCATGTACAGAGGTGCCAAATGAATATGTGTCATTAGAAAGCAAAGGAATGAAGGAATCTGGGTCTCAGATTTGTGTTTCTTTTCCATTTAAGTCTCACTCTTGGTATTGCTGTCCTTTCTTGGATTTGTGCCAACGTATTTGTTCCGTTTTGTTGCATGTCTCTTGATTCATTCATCTGTGGGCACTTTATTATGTGGTTATCTGTGAGCAAATGCAACCTTCTTCCCTTCACAGCTACAAGAAAACACTGACAAAATCTTTTTCTGTTTCCTTATTTCACTTCTGACTTTACAGGATACCTTCTCAGGAAAACCTTTGATCAAAACATAGCTCCAGAACAATATTCACTTGAAAGAAAAATGAAAATGAGTTGTTCGCTACCTGTGCTTCTGACGCTGTTGTCATTAACACTTCGAAGCCCTATGGCATATCTGAATAATGTATGTCCTAGAGACCTTGTGACTCTTACAAAGTAATCTCTGGTTTGTTGCATGCCTCTAGCAAAACAGTTTCTATGGTCTGTCTTGCTGAACTCAGAGAGTACCACAATAATGTGGCTATCTGAGCTGCAGCACATACTAATTCTCAGCTGCCAGACCTGTGAGGACCTTGAGCTGCCCAGCCAGCCAGCCCACCTAGATTGTCTAGGCAGCTGAGAGCCTAGGAGCTGCACAACCATGAGCAGCAACTTCTGTACAAAGTGCAGAGAAACCTTTGTGCTGGGACACACCAGTGGAAGATATGTTGCAGAGAAGGAAGGTTTGGGGAAGTGGTGGGCACAAGATGGGAGGAGGGGATAAGTAAGTGGGACAGCTGGAGTTCTTCGGTAAGCAAGAGAGGTAAGTGGGGATAATACTGGAGAAAAATGAAGGTGGGTAGGTACTTGATAGTATATCTGAGTAAGATATTGTAGGAAAATGGAGAGAATGGAGGTGGGCTATTCACATGAGATAGGAGCCATGGAGGAATAGGTGGGATATAGCTCATGAAAGGGAGAGGTGGGTAACATGGAGGTAGACAGCCATAGTATGGTGGTAGGAAGGGCAAGATATGGTCTAGTATTCATATGACAACGTTTCCCTCAGTCATTAAGGCTGGCCAGTATTTTAGGCACTATAAGAGGCTGTGAACAGGAATCTGAAGGCCTCTTTGCTCTAGCAGGTCATTATCAGAAACACAGCCTGACACGATACGGCAGATACACACCAGCACATTTTGAAAGCATCAACACAACACAATGTTGGCCAAGGGTGATGCTTGCTTCTAGCAAGTCTCTCAGTGCACCTGTCTTTGAGACCTTACTTCCAGGCATTTTTCAGGTCCTTTGCATAGTCAAGCTCTTCAGAGGTGTGCTAACTACATGGTATTATTGTTTGTCCTGATTCTTCTCTTTTAGCCATTCTGACTATCCTTGGAAATTCAGCAGTCCTTCCTTCAGCTGTGAAAGAGCTACTCACAGTAAACTTGGCCGTAGCAGATATTGGAATGGCAATCAGCATGTACCCACTGGCCATTGCATCTGCCTGGAACCATGCTTGGCTGGGAGGAGATGCATCCTGCATATATTATGCCCTGATGGGTTTCCTTTTTGGTGTCTGCAGCATGATGACGCTGTGTGTGATGGCCGTGATTCGGTTCCTTGTTACCAATTCATCCAAATCTAACAGTAAGTAATGAATTACATCTCTGGTGCCCTAGTAATTGTGCTTTTGGCCTGTTATGCTCAGAGAGGCACTTTGCTGAATACGGCATACAGTACCAGTTCAATTACTTTAGGAATCAATATCAAACCTCTAATGTTCCTAGAAGGATCTGGTTAAATTCTTTATTCAGCAAAACACTCAGGCTCCTCACAGCCCACTAATATCGAGCAAAACTACCTGAAGGTAGAGAGCCTAAATATTTTGCTGGATCTTCCCATTCATCTGAAAACAGAAATTTGTGAGGTAGGAGAATGTTCTCCTGAAGTTCCTGGGCTGGAAGTACTAGGCTTTTTTGTGCCAGCTTGATCTTGCAAAGCTGCCTCACTTAGCGGACTTTACATAGGCACTTAGGTCTGCACTGAGGTCTCACCTGATCCATGGACACTTTCTGCTGTGTTTCTCAAGAACACTTATGCCTGCATACCTTATGAGACTTAGGATGGGTAAAGGCACTGTCCTGGACCTCAGCAACTGGTGGTTCAGTTGCTCCCTGCATCACATGCATTTCTGGTTGCACTTACATTGGCCTGCTGAGATGCACGAGGAAGCATCTAGAGTCCTTCCCTTAGTTTATGCATAGTGGAAAATAATTAGGAGCATGATACAGTTCCAGAGGTGCTCTGTATACTTGGATTTTCTTTCCATGGAAATTAAGGCCTGATAAAGGCTGAAAGTTGATGCACATCCAAGTTATATTCCAATATAAAGCGAGGTTATAGCTGAAATGTCCATCGTCACTCAAGAAATGTTAATTGCTTCCCTGTTAGGTACTAAAACAGTGTTATGATGTTATATGCCTCTGTGCTATGGTACTATACACCTCTTTTCTGCCTTTTAACTGATAGAAGTATTAGGAATGGGAAAGTCTCTCACTGGCATATGGATGCACAGGTTTCCTAAGGGTGGAGAGGAGTGTGGCCACATCCCATCCTTTACAAACCAGTACTGGCTAATGAAGCAGTAAAGTTTCCAGTCACATAAGCTGATAGTAGCACAGCTTGTTCATCTAGATCATGGATCCATCCAGTCCTCAGTGGGTATACAAACTTTAGCACAATGGTGCTGCAGCAATAAGAAGGAATATGACACGGTTATGAAGACACTGCTCCCTAACGAGGCATATCTAGCCCTTTAAGACCATGCACACAAGAAACCTTAGCAGTATTCAGAGTGCTGCTACATTTTGGTGCGTCTTGAGCTGCTGGAAGAGTGCATCAGGGGATAGTGCAACTGCAGTGTCTATAAATTGATCCTTGGTCCTTGACTAGCAGCTATTGATCCAAGGGTTAGGGAATTGCAGCAGTAGTGCAGCCATATTTGGTGACACAGTTCTCCTGATGAAGAAGAGGTTACGACCAAATTGTGTGGTTGAGGTGCGATCTATATAGACTTGCTCTTCCTCTTTCTTGCAGGTAACAAAATCACCAAGAACACTGTTTACATCTTAATTACTTTCATCTGGCTCTACTCCTTGCTCTGGGCCATTCTGCCCTTGATAGGCTGGGGCTACTATGGCCCTGAGCCATTTGGGATCTCTTGTACAATAGCCTGGAGCAAATTCCACAACTCCTCCAATGGCTTTTCATTCATCCTGAGCATGTTCCTCCTGTGCACAGTCCTTCCCACACTGACCATTGTTGCCTGCTATTTGGGAATCGCCTGGAAGGTTCATAAAGCATATCAAGAAATTCAGAATATTGACAGGATCCCTAATGCAGCTAAACTGGAGAAGAAGCTGACTTTGGTGAGTTATCTCAGTGACCAGAAGAGTCTGCAGTAATCAAGAGCTCACAGAGAACTGGCTCTGGTCATGTACAGCCCATGACAACCTTCATTGCTTTTGTCTAGAATAGACCAAAAGTGGGGACGTGGCTCCAGTCTCATCCAGACTGTGCGCCCCTCAGAGTACCAGACGGCTCCTGGTAACCTTGTTACTGCAGTAGCTTGGTTACAACAGATAATATATCCTAGATACTATGCATACTATTAAACATTCTTTAGACATTTGCATCCATGATTTGCATAAGGATTTCCAGTTATGCTGGAATAGCTACTGAGTCCATTCATAATATAGTTGGAGTACAAGCTTTGTCTTGTCATCTTAAGTATTTTTAACTGACTGAGTAGCTATTCTGAGTGAGAGCTACACAGAAGTTCTCTATAGAAATATATCTTTTTATATAAAATTATTGTTTAAAATAAACACTTTGTTGCTCATTTCCTGTGTAGAAACAAAATTGTCCCAAGCTTTCTAGAGGCCAGCATATTGATAAGCTGTACTTTCTGGTAGGACCATGTCTCCTATGATATACTGCAGCCGGAGCCAGGGAAGGAGATGAAAATGATAGCTCCCTTATAGAAGGCCATCTGTGTAGATCTGCTAGGTGGGAGTAAGAGAATATAAGCACTGTCTGGTGTTACCTATGCTTATGTCACAACATAACAAAAATCCTGTTTCAAGTATTTCCTCTATTTCAGGTGTGGTTTCGTCCACACACCATTTGCCTAAGTGTCATGTTTCCCTTTCAGATGGCTGTGCTCATCTCAGTTGGATTCCTGAGCTCCTGGACACCGTATGCAGCTGCCAGCTTCTGGTCCATATTTAACTCCAGTGATTCCCTACAGCCCATCGTTACACTGCTGCCTTGTCTCTTTGCCAAATCTTCAACAGCGTATAATCCTTTCATTTACTACATCTTCAGCAAAACTTTCCGCCGTGAAATTAAACAATTGCGGTGTTGCTGTGGCTGGCAAGTTCATTTCTTCAGCACTGACAACTCTGCTGAAAACCCTGTGTCAATGACGTGGAGTGGGAGAGACAATATACGTCTCTCTTCAGCTGCAAAGGTGGAAAACCAGGGAGCCCCAACTCGCTGAAATGCAGTCAAGATTTCAGAACACAGGTCCAAATTTGGAGTTGCTCATGAGTCTGAATGAGTAGGAATGCAGCACATGGGGTCATCACTGTGTATCTTATGTCAAATACTCAAATTTAAGTATATATTTAAGTATATTTTAAGTATATATTTTAAGTATATATTTTTAAATAACTCCTGATCATTGTTTTTAAGCTATACAACAGAAAAGGAAAGTTTTTTTTTTTTCTCCCCAAGAATTTCCACTTTAGAAAAAGTAGATAGATTTATGTTCTAAATAAAACCATTATCAGCTTTGGTCCCACTTATTTTCAGGGAAACACTACAACTAAAAGAGGATTTACTATTTTTGTATTTTCTTTCTTATGCTTTTGACTTTATGATATAATCTATCTGCATACTCTTGGCTCTGTCAATAAAACAACTGTCAGAGAAATGGTAAGTTGAACACAAAGTGCTACCAAATAAATATGGCTGAGACTGTAGTTTTCCCAACAATAGGGATAGAAAACCACATGAGTAGCAAGAATATTCACTGTCAGGAAAAGATGACAAAGTAGCTGGTATCAAAAATGTCTTAAAAAGATCTACAGCTCCTTGCTCCATCAGAGGTACCGTACCAGCTCCTTGAATCACAAGCTGGAAAAGGAGTTTACAAATGTGGCAGCCAGCAAAGGGTGCCTTCTGTATGTCACAAATAGCAGGATGAGAGGTGAAGGAATCTTTTAGCAAAAGGAATTATGCACTTAAGTGATTGTTCACTGCAGTATAAAGCTCTTCTAACACTAAAGCCATCTGAGCATTTGCTTTCTGGAGGAGCATCCTGCATGGCTGGGTATAGCATGCCAGCAAGCTGCCCTGCAGATGCAGTCTTAGCTCTCAGTGAACGCTTCAGTGAGAGGTGAAGACACTCAGTTCCTCACTGGTTGGAGCGCTCACCCGGTCGCAGTTGAGTTGGGTTTACCGATTCCGTGTAAAACATACTCCCAACCACAGAATCATACTGCTCTCCTGTTTTAACAAAAGAGATTTTGAGGTGGAAATGACTAGCTCCTACAGTTTAAACTCTCTCTCTCTGACTTACTTTTTATGACTTTAAAGGGCATAAACCCATCTCTAGATTTCAAAACGTGGATATTGTATAAAACATGGCTTGATAATTGTAGCAGTTCTTGCTTTCACCGTTTGCTCAGTTGAACACATCGATCTTTGCCATAGGTGCAGTGAAAATGGAATGGTTAAGTCAAAGACAGATTTAGCATAGCTTTTGGAGAAGAATCTAAAACAACAGAGACTGGACTTAGAGTTCTTAAAAGCTTCCACCACATTGGCACCCTGATAATTAGTTTTATTGCCATAAACTACAGCTGATGCCAAGAACAGGATTAAGATAGGGTTAAGCATTGCTAGGGAATGTAACATGCTGGAAAGGGAGTTGTTATGGTAAATGTCTATTTTCAGTATTTTTTCAGTTTTAAAAAATAATCTGATAGGAAAATGAAACTTTTTTAATAATCATCTTCCACCTTTCACCAGAGTTTTTGTTTTGACTTGCTCAGTTGCTTGATGTTTAAAATAAACAGCAATATATATATATTCTTATCTGGTAATTGCAGATTTGTGAAAGGGACAATAACATACATGTTAAAAATGTAACATGAGATTCCTCTGTGAAAAATTAGAAAGCAGAACAGCGACACATCCACCTGCAAACACTTTTAAAGTGGGTGTATGCAACAGGAAAAATATGTCACTCTATAATACATATAAAATCTGTGTAACACCAAAAGATTCACATATTGCCAATGTTTAAGATAATGTTTTAATGGCTTGATTTATTACCTTTGTACTTCATTTTTAAAAATCGAAGTCCAAGTGTTTGTGTATGAAAAACAGCTCAACTCTCTTTTCCTTTGTCTAGAGTCAGTGAGGATCAAATCAGAACTTCCTCAGCATAGACTCTACTTTTCAGACATTTTTATGATACATAGAGAAAAACAATTCAGAAAGCAGGGCTCCCCTTGGACCAGAGAACTAGGTCAAGGGACTAGTTTTTGTCTCAGTTTTGTAAAGTCTCCTCACGTTGATTTATGGTCAAATTATCTTTCTGAATTCATGATACTTCCTACCTAGCCCTGGACTATCTTGTCAGCTAAGTGATGTTCTAGACACTGAAGCATTCAGGAGTGAATCAGGGCCCCTATGTTTATAATCACCAGCACGATCATCCCACAATACAAACATTTAAGGTAAAAACTTCAAAAGCATCTAACCTGCTAACACACTAGAGGTAGGAGTGACCTCACCAAATTTTAGAAGTTTAAAATGCAGATTTCCACATCTGAGCTAGTCACTTTTAGCTCCTTTTAAAGTAAGTGGAAAAAAAACCCTAGTTACTACAGGTCAATTCCTCACCTGCTGTCTGGATAGATAGGTTGAATTGTGCCCTAGAAGTGCCAGTTTCTTTCCACTGAGGATAAATGGGACCCTCTCCTCAGGTGATGAGATATAAAGTTAGTTTACACAAATACCACGCTGAATTGCAATAAAATAAACTGGAACTGGATGGTTTACTTGGAAAAGCCTTCTAGGCAGCCCTCTGTCCATGTAGGTGCAGAAATAGCTAGCAGATCAGCCAACTTCTCTTCAGCGTCAATTTTCTCATCTGCAAAATGAAATGTGACCCACTTCAGACCAAAGATGATGGAGATCATTGTTCTAGTGGTCAGCACAGGAGACTAACACTAAGGAACCTTGGCTCCACCCATTCCTTTGCCAGTAAATACTATGTGTTCTTAGGCAAATCCCTTCATCTTTGTCCTGGGTTCTTCTCCTATCCATACAGTAGAGATGGTCTTGCTGCTCATCATGGCAAGGCAGATAATATCTGATGAACAGCGAAACACAAGTGTAAAAGCAGCAACACTGAAGGTACGAAACAGTAAGAATGAAAAATGGACTACAGTTCCCTCACAGTGTTTTGCTCTCTGTAAGATCAAGATACTGTGTTCTGGAGGTTACCCTACAAAAAGAGTGTAGACTTACAGCAGCCAAGTTAACGAAGAGTGTGCACAGTAGCTGAGATTTTAGTTGGTAACCATTCACTGTTGTGCATGAAGACTCATAATCTGACATTAACTTGTCAGTAGCAGCAGCAAAAGAGAAAAAAAGGAAAAACCAAGAAAGAAAAAAACAAAGTCAAAAAGCAAGAAAGAAAAAAGAAAAGGTAAAGCAAGGAGGGGCAAGGCAAGGAAGGGAAAGATAAGGAAAATGTAAAGCAAAACAGGGAAAGATAACAGGCAGGAAAGAAAAAGGAAAGAAAAAAGGAAAATAAAAAGCAAGAAAGAGAAATGGGAAGAAAACCAGGAGAGGAAAGCTAAGGAGAGGGAAAAAAGGGGAGGGGGGGACCAAGGAGAGGAAAAAAAAAAAAAACAAGGAAAGAAAATATAACACAAAACAAAGAAAGATAAAAGGCAGGAAAGTAAAGAAAGAAAAAAGGAATGGAAGACCAAGGAGCAGAACAGAAAGGAAAGAAAATATAGAGCAAAACAAGGAAAGATAATGGGTAGGAAAGAAAAGAAAGCAAAAAGAAAAACAAAAAATGAAGGAGAAATGGAAAGGCAAAGCAAGCAGAGGCAAAGCCAAAGCATAGAAAGGGAAGGGCAAAGCAAGGAGGGGCAAAGCAAGGACAGACAATATAAAGCAGAACAAGGTAAGATAAAAGGAAGGAAGGAAAGGACAGCTTGGCAGAGGTGATCCTTGAACATCAACCAGCTTTCTTGCACCCCTGCTTCTTCCCTCAGCTGCCCTATGCCATGGCACAGTTCTTCATGCAGCAACACAGCCTCGTGCACCAGCGACGTGCAAGCGCTTGTGCTGCCACACACATCTCAGCCACTTGATTTAGGAGAGCAACTGGCAGCAAAAGCACTCAGGCATCTCAGCATCAGTGCAGCCTGAGAGAAAGTCCATCCCGACAAGTTTCACAGACATTTGGACGGGCACTCAGATGCAGACTGCACATGTAGTGGGGGGCTTTCATTTCAGTCCCTGTGTGCAAGCATTTCCATGAGCCTGCCTAGTCGCCTGCTTAGTCTGCCTGCCTTTGAGTGTCTCTG